TATTATGCTGGACATGAGATATTTTTAGTCTTTAAGCTTTAACCAGCCATATAAACCTAAAGAAAATACAGGGAGAGCCCCTCCGCTCTCAAGAAATCAATATTTCCCAGCTTGTGTGATGGTTGCAGGATTATGCTCACGGAGCAGACAAGCTAACGCCCATTATCACTCACATAAGCAGTGTTTTTGACACGGTTTCTCATGACTTCCCCGGCACTCAGGCTTATTCTAAGAAATGCAGCAGCCCGACAATTTTGTTCCTCTCCAGACTGCGTTCCCTAGTCCCATCGTACCTACCTGTGATGACAGCCTCTGCTGTAGCCATGTGCATGAGCGTGTTGTCACTTACTGGCCACTTGTCGGGAGAGAGCACCAGGTTCTCAAGCCCTCCAATTTCCTTCAGCTCCTGCTGGATTTTTGCACCTAAGGCATTGTTTTCTCGGGAGAAATTGCGATAACCAAGAGCATCCCCTACCCCAGCCAGCACAAGCGCAGCCTTAAATTTATCCATCCCCGAGACACTTTCCGCTTTCCTTTTGACCGAGACAGCCACCGAATCTTGATCTTCCTTTGTTCCTTTGCCTTCAGCTCAGCTCCCCCGACACTTTATATCAGCCATTGTGTCACACCGAGAGCGCTCTCTATAAGGCAAGCACTGCCTTTTCTGGCTCTGCAGATGCCATCTCTTGTCCGGGACCCGACAGAGAGGAAATATTTCATAACCCAGGGATTTTGCAGGGCCTTTGTTTAATGAAACTGCAAGAGCGGACCCGCAAAGTGAAGTGCAAAAGCCTCGTTTCTGCGACCCACTGTAAAGCAAGCCAGGAAATCCTGATCCCTACCCAGTGAAAGTAACTCTACACCCAGAAAAACAGATGCCTCTACAGGGGTGTTCATTTATTTAATAACTTGCAATTAATATATTCTCCTGCCTATTTCTGATATGCTGGAGTCAGCCTCCTTTTCAGGGACGAGTCAGAAGGAAAACCTGTGACAAAAAAAGTTTCCAAGCCCTGTAAACACTAGAATGAGGGGCTAGGCAGTAAGAAATCTAGTCAAATGCAGACAACCTCTCTCATTTCTAATTACACCCTATGGCGATATTTTGTCAACAGCTTTCTTGCTCTGTTGCAACTATTACAAGAATTTTTTGATAATTCGCTGCACCCCTGGACAAAGCACTGAGGAAAATACCAACTTCAATCCCACGCCTCTTACTCCCTGGCAAAGAGTGACTTTTTCCTAAGGTCGAGCTCAGGTGCAGTCCACATTTGGACTCTGGAAGGAAACTATTTTGAAAGATGTATTTAAATGGCATGCTGTGAGTCTAAGAAAGTTAATGTATGAAGAAATGTCACTAAGAACCAAGCTTTATTAATACCATCCTTTTAAACTTGATTCTTGTGCAATTATGTGCTTCATTCTGTTATTGCAGGTTTTTTTCTGTGCTTCTGCCATGCAGTGCAAAAAGAGGCTCTGTATTCTTGCAGCTTTTTAAATGTATTTTGCCCAAACCCATGTCTCTGTGTAGGCTCAACATCTTTCTTCAAGGGGTCTGCTGCGACTGACTCAGATTGTGGTTCTGAGTCACCATCCATGCTGTCCTAAATTACTACAAATTACTACTATTCTACAGATAAAAATACAAATGTAAATATAAACTTAGGTAGATAAACAGAAAGCTTTGATTGGCTTGACTGTGATTTTGATAAAGGATACCTGGGGAAAGGTCTTTGTTTTACTTCATCTTTTTCAGAAAGCAATACTGTTTGCTATTTGGATGGAAAAGGCCAGCAGCGTAAAGGATGCATCCTCCTATCACCCAGAGCAATAAGCAGTTAATCATGGACTGAGTTATTGACCTGTGTCGAAATATCACTGTACTTCACAAGAAACCTTAATGCAGTTTCAGAACACAGATAAACATTATTGTCCCTATTCTACATCATAATAAATAAGGTGCCAAAGTGGTGAAAGTAGCCTCTGTTAGTACACTCTTCTTTTAAAGATTAGGACTTGGGTAACAGAAGTGTTAAATATTAAGGACACTGAGAGTGTGGCTGAAAAAGCAAAAAAAAAAAAAAAAAGGAAATGATGCCTTAGGGTAGCAGGGCCATTATGTAGGGACCAGAGGAGATGCAGGGCCAAGCATTCCCCAGTGGGGCCGCAGCCAGCCTGCCCTAGAGATGGCTCACCATGGGCAGGGAGGACACCAGCCCCTCTGCCCTGGGTGGCTATGGGGACAGGCATCACCTCCCACAGCCACGGCATTCAAGCAACATAGAGGTAATCTTAGTGACCCCTGCACTGCCAGAGTTAGCTCAGGTTCTGCCTCTCTGGAAGTGAACATGCAAAATGGAAAACTAAGGCCAAGGCAGCTTACAAAAACCACCCCAGGCAGAGGCGCTGATTTTGATGTCTCAGCTACAGGCCCATGCACCCTTCTGCACCACCCACCCCTTCTTTACTCCCGCAGAGCATGACGAGTTGGAAGCACGTGGGAATTTGAACTTGCAAAGGACTTGCAAGGACAGGAGACATCACCTGCTGAGGCATCGTGGAGAGCTAGTAAGGGCCTCATCAGATGGAAGGTTGCTTCCTGAAAATGGGCAAAGCTATTCTTAGTTTTCCATTCATCTCATCCTTCTGAATGTGACTGGCAGTTGCACTGCCCTTTTGCCTCCCGTGGACTTTACCCCGTTGCATGCACAATTGGCTGCTTATAACACAGCCCAAATTAGGAATACGATCTTTAGCTCTAGAAATAAGGCTATAATGAAAACCCAGAGAGAATTTCAGTGAAGTTCTTCTATGTTTCAACTCTGCAAAGCAGAACATGCAACAAAGAATTTAGTTTTTATTTAATTTGTTAATTGCACGTGATCTCCTTTTCACGTGGTACTTCCAGCCACTGAGCTTTCTGGGCAGAGGTAGGGTAGGCACACCGGTGTCTACCCCTACTCCTCTAAAAGGGGACAATTATTTGTAAAATATACTTGCATGTCTTAAACACAGCCTAAATACAGTAACTCCATTAACATGCATAGGTATGCACTTATCACACATATTCACAATAAGAAAAAACAAGTGGAGCTGGCAAAAGATGTTGGGTAAATGTTAAATCAGAGAAAAATGCAGCTTAGATGTGCTCTCTTTAGGTGAACATCTGGCTGCTTTCGGATGGGGAGAATCCAGAAAAAAAGGGAAGTCAGGATAGAGAAAAGATTTGTTCGTGCTGGTGGCAACACGCTGCTGTTTCAGCTCCACTGCATTTGAAACCCTACATGAGAACACGAGAGCGTGCCTTCAGCCAAACATGCCCCCCCCCCCCACCTCCTCCACCCGAGGGGATGGGGATCAGTGATCTCCACCGCCCAGGAGAGGGCTCTTGGGCCAACCAGGCACTGGTGCCTCATGTGAATACATGAACTGGCAAATGGAGCCTGGGCTGAGCCTGCTCAGTCAGCACAAGCCCTTCGGCATCTTAAGGTAAAAGAAGATGACTATACCCTGAGTACTTCACCCATGAGCGAGCCGTGCTTCTGCCATTCAAAGACACTCAGCAGAGAAATGCTCTTGATTCCAAGTTCACCCATCCAAAGGATGCAGAACCACATCTTGGAAAAGGATGATACCAAGTGGGTGTGAGACTTCTGTCAGAGCTGCATTTTTGCCTCTGCTGAAGTGAAGGGTTCCACTTTGGCAACAGGATCCTTCCTTTAGGAACGGTACTAATTATAGAACACATTAATTGAGATCCAGGGAAAAATAGACTGGTTTTACTCAATTCTTTAATAGGGAGTATGAATCATTTTTATACTGCTTTATACCACAGCTTTAAAGGAAAAATATTCCTTTAACACAACAGCATGAACTTATTTCTTCTTCACCCTCTTGACAGAAAAAGCCCGTGTCATGACATGAACCCTTCAGGGTTTGCCAAACAAGAAATAAAGCATTTCACTGCTTGTAAAAGAGGCATAAGAAAAAACACATGGGAATTTATCAAGTATGCACACTAACAAGAGGAAGTATCCCGGTAATTGTACTCAATCAAAATTTGAATGCCCTTGAGCTTCCCCAGGCCTTTCTCATCAAGAGGTGAACACTGTACCCACTTGCCTGAAATACGGAATTTTCTTCCCGTGGTTGTAGCAGTAGCTGCAGTTGTAGACCCCTCTGTCAACACTTTATAACAAAAAAGCCCCTTTTAGAGGTGTGTCACCCCCACCTAATTCTACCCAGCACACCATACATAATGCAAAGGTCAGAAAACATGTTTTGTTGGTTATTTTCTAAAAAAAAAAAAGTTCTCATGGTTGCAAAACACTACATTTTTTCCCTTTCAGAAGGGCCATGCCTTTTGGTGTGCCAGATGCTGGGTGGCGTCAGCTGAGGGAAGCTACCGGTGCTGACACTTGAAAGGAAAAGAACTCGCCATGGTTCAACTATCAGCACCAGCAGCTTCGCTGTCACAGGAGTGGGAAGACAGCCTCGTGTGATACCAAAGCAGCCAGAGGAGAGGGGTGCCGGCTGGCAGAGTGCAGAGGACAACTGATTTAAGCTTTCAGAAGAGAATTAAGGACAGTTGAAGACATACCTCCGAAGGTCTTTGCACAGACTTCTGAGCGTGCTGCTTCTCCTACAGAGCTCAGAGCGTAGGACTGAGCACGACCTTCCCTGCAATCACACCTCTCATTACCAGTACAAATTAATGACATGAATTGCAGAGTTTGGTCACTAGCAGGTGCACGTCGTGGGTGCAGCCCTGCAGCTAAACACAGAGAGCTGCTTAAAAGCTTAAAGATGGCACAGATGAGCAAACCCAACATTTATTATAACTGTTCAAGAATTAATGAGTTATATCCTTACCCTCTTCTGACTGATGGAATAATAATGTAAGAATCGAATAAATTAACCAGAAAACCAAAAAAAAACCCAGCAGCCTTTGCAAGGCTTCCAAAGCAGAAAGCTGACAAAAACCATACAGACATCTCACATGACTGACTTCAATCCTTTATGTTGACAGTCCATTTATTCCTTTTTCCATTGCCACAAAATTTACACACATACAGCTTACTCAGCAGCAAATCTCTCAGGTGCATTGAATGAGCAGATGCCTGCAGGTTTGCTCTCCTTGGCATGACATATGTGATAAATTACATTTAAATTTAGAATTGGCAAGTACAAATCCTATGGCTCAGTTTCAAACACTCTAGGATGTAAAATCAAACAACTTGGCACCGAGTTTAAAAATACATACAGCATATCTAGGAACTAATACTGTATGCACTGAACAACTTGAAGACATCTGTACCATTTATAAATTGATCAGCCTAGGTGTTACCACTGTACCAGCTTACCCAAAAAGCGAGTCAGAGTGCCCTGTAAAGTGGAACTGCGGACAGCAGCACATTGTTAAAATACGTAAGGAACTGATAATTTGAAAGCAGCCTGTTTGCATTTATTTTGATGATTGTTCATGTGTGAAGGTGTTAGTTACTCCATGCTATTATTTACAGGAATGGAAAATGCATACATGGTTTCAAATGGGTAGAAGACTATAAATAACAACAGAAAAAGTGTACTATGCCTAGGAAGCTGGCTGATATGGAGTAACTCCTATCTTGAGAGGATTTTTCCCAGTGTTCCTCTGTTGGAAGGTGTCTTCCATGAAGGAACCTCACAGGAATGAGGCTTAAGAGTAAGTAAGTGTGTATAAATAGAAACACAATACTGTTCTAAACACCTTCCTTCTTCCTCAGACTAACAAGGCAAAAAACCCTCAGCCCACTTGCATTTGTTATGCTCTATTTATTTCAAAAGGTCCATCAGGTTGATTTTAAAGACTCTTCAGCATGAACAAATGTTTCACAAGCTCTAGTGCTATGAAACTATTCGGTTGCATCACATACTAATAGAATAAACTACTTCTGGTCAGTTATATTATAGCTATATATCTTGAGGGGCAATTGCGTGAATAACAAGCATTCCACTGCTTTTGGCTGGATAAATGCACTTGATGTTATATTACACCTTCTCCAAAGTCTACAGGACAGATACAGAAATGGCTTGTTTCAGGAAGGATGAGCAGGCAAATCAAATATATTAAAAAGAGCATAATACCAGTTTAAAATCATCGTTGACTTCTGTAGAATACCTGGACTTACGTACACAAATGCCCTTCTAAAAAGACATAGTGAGAAAGTAATAATTTGGCTTAATATTACTCCTTAACTCTACACAGAAGAGGGAGGCATCTGAAGACTGAGACACTGACATCCAGTGGCTGCCATGCAAGATCTAACATTTACAAATACTGCTTAGGGTAAAAAGACTACTAATAATACATCATTCATGGGGCATTTGGAACTTGCCTGCTATATCCCTATCAACAGAAAAGGTGCTAATTTGTTCAAATTTGTCCTAATTCTGCTTTTTAAGCATCATGCACAACTGAAATTCTCTCAAGTGGAAGAATGAAGGTAATCTTTCTGTATGCAGCATGTACATTTGCTCTTGTAGGCTGCATTGACATAAATGAAAGCTGACTGCTTATATGAAACTCTAAATATTAGAGTTTAAGAGAACATTGTACTCTTTTATACCCTCACAGCTACAAAATAAAATAGTATGCTGTCATGCAATACTTAAATGATCTGATGTGATCCAAACAGATATAAATTATATAACTTAATACACTATTTTCTTCAAAATTCTTGCATCTATTTCAGCTCTGGTTACAGAAAATATATTGAACATAGCTGTACATACTCTTCAGCAACACTTTATTTTAACAAACTTTTACAGTGGCTATGACAAACTCATTTTGATGAGGTAGCATTTAAAAGAGCCCTGTGTGAAGACGTGTTGAATAGTTTCTGGTAAAAGTTTTTTGTGCTTAGGCATTGGAAGACACTGTTGAGAAAGAGGAGACTGACCTCTGTCCACTTTATAATCAGTGGCTGGGGAAAGGGGAGAAACAAATGACTGACCAAATTCAGATTTGGTGAAAACTGGTCCAATTCCACTAGCCTTGAGATCAATGATACTGCATTAATTTACTCTTTTTTTCCCTTAAATAAATGAAATTGAATGCATAACACATCCAGAGGCATGAGTGCTTATCAGCATTACTATAAAGTCTCCTTACCCCTAACTATTTCTCCAAAGTGGAAGCCGACTAGTTAGGTCTCTGGGCTTATTCACATTTATTTTCTGTGAGAAGTGCCAGGATTTGCATTTATAACTATGTTGCATTTACCTAGAATTTATGATATGTTTCAGGCTACAAATAAAACTAAAAGTTATGTTCCACCAGTTCATTATTTAAAATAAATAAAACACATAATTGACAACTACCTGAATTATGATAATCAAACATGAATTATAATAGCATCTTTGGTTGTTTAATGTCTACTTTAAAATGGTTAATTAAAAAAGCTGGAGTTGCAACATAACATAGAGCAGCAGCCTTTCCTCAGCAATGCTACTGTTAAATGTCCAAGCACTTCAAGAACAATGAGGAAGTTAGTCTCACTGGAAGAAAACCAAAGGCTGAATGTAATCAATCTATACATCTAAGACTTAAAAATACAAATTTAAAATTTTGGCAGCAAGTAAAAAAAGCATAAGTGTTTTTGTGTTTTGTTACAATTCTATATTAAGACAGATCCACTGAACTAACTTTTATAAAAATACAACATACTGCATAAGTTTTATTTAGGGATTTAATTTATATACCACAAATACTGCTTTTAATATAAGTACAATATAATACAGTTTTATTCATGTAACTGCTGGTGTTCACTTTGGATCATGAACTGAATGGCATGCTGTGCTGTCAAAACTTTAATAAAATGGCCTCTAGTTAAACTTCTCCAAAGTATAAAATCATGCAAAATCTACATCCTATATGATACAACCAGTACAATAATTGAAGCCAATAGCCTACAAACAGCCTGGACTATCTTCTGAGTTTGTTCTTGGAGCGTCCACAAGTCAGCCATCATTTTCTTTAGGCGGAAGGGAAGAATTTCAGTTTTGTCTGCAGAATCTCATCATGACCACTGAAACCAGCAACGATGTGCACAGTTATCAGTCAACAAATCCTCATTACCTAATGCAGTTCAGAGCACACGTTTAGTCCATATTGGCAAGTCTGAGGTTAGGAAGTTTTACGTTTCCCTCCTGTGACTACCGGTCGTGCATATTCCACAAAATCATCTATAAGAACAGGCCACGCTCCTAAAGAGAAAAGTCAAGCAATTCAGAAATTAATGTATCATTATCAGCAGTAAATTGGTGTAGTCTCTAAATACAAAGGATCAGAAGTTCATTTTGACATTTCTGGCCTAGTTTAGCTTTAACATGCATGATATGATAAACACTTGAAAAAAGCACCTAATACATTAAACATTTCAATCTCTTCTTGCAGCAATAGTTCTTAGTACAAACAAAATTTATTTAAAGCATAATCCACACTTCAAAGTTTATAAACATTAGTTGAGAGCAAAATCATGGCATTCATATTAGAGCTATTCATAACTTAGGAAACATTTCTGTACACTGTCATTCCAAAATACGATTTGCAGGGTTAACAGAGTGTAAATTGCATTTAGGTCAGTGAAAAAAAAAATGCTCACGTAAGACAACCTTGTAAGTAGAAAAATTATGTATTTCCTTGCAGTTAGCAGCAGTGTTGTACAAAAACCCCCCAGTTTCACTGGGACTCTCGTAGCATTAACAGGTTCAAATAGCATGTGCTATATATCATGATGTGACTATCTTTACTTCTATTTACATATTACAGCAAACTAGTTAACCTTCTTATCATTACTGTTTTGGCAACAAGTATGACACTATATTTGCAGCTAGACCTCTCAGAGTAAACAAATTAAGACAGAAGGTAGCAGCATGTCCTCTTGTTTGTTTATAGCAATATTTTAATTCTGCTGTAGCAATTTTTGAAGATATTCAAGTACTGCTTACCTTCTTCATCATAGTTGGACATATCATCTGCAATCATATTTCCAAAGTCTAACAGAAGATTCCAAGTATCTTTTGGAATTGATCTTTTATGATGTTCCTATAAAGAAGAAAAAATGTTACCATTCAATCCCATCTATTTTCAAATTCCACAGTAGCATTTGATATTGACATATACAGAAATACATGTTTTACATGTTTTACAAGTGTCTCTTCTTATTATCTTTTTTCCTTTTTTTTTTTTTTTTTTTTTTTTTGAGTAAGGTTCAGAGCTTCCGAAGAAAGCTACAGAACAAATTGCAATGAAAGAAGGCAAAAAAAGTGTAAGAAGTCTTTGATACTTGGTTTATTTCTTCTGTTCGGCTTTTAGGGTATGCGTTTGTGCTGAGTTTTTGTGGTGGGGTTTTTGGTAGCTGGGGAAGGGGCTACAGCAGTGGCCCTGTGAGAAGCTTCTCAGAGCTCCCCTGGCTCCGAGTCAGACCCAGCTCTGGCCAGGGCTGAGCCAGTTAGTGATGGTTGGTGTGGGAAGGTATTTAAGAAGGGGAACCTGGGAGGAGGTTGGGGCTTGTGAGGAAGAGTTATGAGAAGGATGAACACTGAGGTCAGTGGAAGGAAGGAGAGGGAAGTGGAGGAGGTGTGCCAGAGCGGAGAGAACCCCTTTATCCTGTGGTGAGAAGGCAGGGCTGCCCCCCCCACCCATGGGGGTCACTGGTGGAGCAGCCTGCTCCAGGACAGGTGTCTGCACTTAAAGTAGGCTGGGACTCTGAGGGGAGAAGCAGCCCCCACTGTTGTGGTTCGGCTCTGGGAGGATGGCAGCATGTGGGGGTGACCCACGCCGGAGCAGCTCGGGAACGGCTGCGCCCCGTGGGGAGGACTCACACTAGAGAAGGTTCATGAAGGACTGTCTGCAGTGAGAGGGGAGCCCCGTGGAGCAGGGGAGGGATGTGCGGCGTTCCCCCACCTCCCGAGAAGGAATGAGCATTGGGCTGACTGTGACCCCCACCCCCTGCCCCCCTGGGGGAGGAGGTACAGAGAAGGGAGCAGAGCTGAGCCCGGGGAAGAAGGGAGAGGTGAGGGAGCTGGTTTTAGATGTGGAACTTTTCACTGTCCCACTTTGTCTGTTAAATGTTGGTTTTCTCAGCGCTTGAATTAAAGTGATGTTTTCTTTTCTTCCCTTAACAAGTCTGGCTTTTGTCCATGACCATAATGGGTGAGCACCCCTCCCTGTCCATAACTGGATTCCTAATCCATTTCTGCTTTGTTTCCTCCTTCCCATTCCTGACAGGGGGAGGGGGTGAGTGAACAGCTGCGTGGTGCTCAGTTGTGCTCTGGGTTCAAACCACGACAGCATTCCTAACTTGTTATGGAAAAGAATAAACCAAATGTACTTTATACTTCTACTTAATTCCAGGTTCTGAAACTGTGTAGCCATGGATTGGCATTCTGTCGTTTCAACTTGAGCCCCTTTTTCCTTATGCTTACCCAGTCTCTCTTTCAGCTTGTTGAGAGTTGCACCTACGCTCTTTCTCACTCCCAGACTGCCTTCTGGATCAATCATCTCTGCCTCTCTTCAGTTATTCTCTCCTTCACCATAACACACTACCTACATCTGCTCCACTTCTGCTCAGTCTCCTTATTCCCAGTCTGTCCTGTTCTCCACTACCACCTCCTTGCCTGATTTCAAATATGCTCTTTCTAGATTACCCCCTGTTCACAAGTAGTAGTTGCCACCCTGGCCAGTGTCCTGGATTTGAGTGAGTGGGGGGGTTTTTTGGTGGCAGGGGAGGGGGCTATAGGGGTGGCCCCCTGTGAGAAGCTTCTCGAAGCTCCCCCAGGTCCAAGTCAGCTCCACCTCTGCACCAAAACTGAGTCCATCAGCTGTGCCTCTGCGATAACGTATTTAAGAAGGGACGTGGTGAGGAGCAGTGGGACTTGTGAGGAGGAATTGCTGCAGCTGCGTGAACACCAAGGTCAGTGGAGGAACGGAGGAAGAAAGGAGGGGGGAGGTGTGCCGGAGCAGAGACCCCCCTGTATCCTGTGGGGAGACAGCAGGGCGGCCCCCCCTGCCACCCATGGAGAGCTACGGTGGAGCAGACACTGATTTATTGCCTGTGTTTTTCGCCTAGCTGATCAAGGTGCTGTGCCCGAAGAAGGCCGGGGTCTCATGGGAAAAGGCAGCCCCGCTGCTGTAATTCAGTGCTGGAAGGATTGCAGCATGCGGGGGAGTCCCACGCCGGAGCAGCTCGGGAAGGGCTGCAGCCGTGGGAGGGAATCCAGTTGGAAAAAGTTGGTGACCCATGACGGAGCAGTGTGGGGAACACTGCAGCCCGTGGGAGGGACTCACCTCGGAGAAAGTTTGTGGAGGACTGTCTCCTGTGAGAGGGGGACCAAGCTGGACCAGGGGGAATAAGTTCCAGAAGCTCCCCCCACCAAAGATGGAAGAAGCGACAGCACTGACTGCACCCCCCATTCCCTGCCCCTGCGCCACCGGGGGAGGAGGTAGAGATATCGGGAGCAGAGCCGAGCTCGGGAAGAGGGGAGGGGTGGGGGGAAGGTGTTCTCAAGATATGGCAATGCTTCTCACTGACCTACTCTGTTAAGTGCTGTTGTTAGTGTCTGTAATAAATGTATGTTCTTTTTTTCTTCCTCTAGTAAGTCTGCCTTTTGCTCGTGACCATAAAGGGTGATTTTTCCCCATCCCAGTTCTATCTCAAACCCCAAGCCTGGCTCTCTGTCCCTTCTTATTGCCAGAAGAGAAGGGGGAGAGAGTGACTGTGTGGTGTTAGGCTGCCAACCACATTTAAACCATGACAAGCCAGATTGAGCAGGACTCCAAAAAAATTTCAGTCCTAGTCAGTGTTCTCTCAGCTTTTAAAGTTGGCACTCCCAAGAAGAGTGTGTGTGAAGAAACGCAACTACAAACAGTTGTGAGCTGTAGGATCAAGTCAGACCATTCACACCTCCCTTCATCTGTTGATACTGCTTTATTACCAGAGGATAGCAGGTGATTAATAGGGAATTAAATTTCAACACCTACTTCTGGTTTGCAGTGAAAAAGTTGTAACTGCATGAAAAGACTGGCTCGGTGAAGGGTTGGGATTGTGTGTGGTTTTGGTTTTGTATTGTGGAGTATTCTGTGGTTTTTTTTTTGTTTGTTTGCTTGGTTATTTTTTTTTTTTTTTTTTTAACAGTAATATGTTAAAAGTATTAAGAAGAACAAACTGCATTTCAAAAATCTGGAACTTGATCAAAATGAGGTTGCTGTCTAACACAACAGCAAACATCTCCTCTTACTCAAGCCAAAGACTGTATCTTGACTGCAAAAAATATGACAAGCAAACACACCTTCTGGAAAAGGTTCCTTAAAACAAACAAAACCAAAAAACCATCCTAAACTTGGTTGCTTCTTAGGTTGAATTTTTTTAACTTAAACATTTCTTCCAAAGGAAGTGTTCAGGTTAAGTATTTGTAGCAATTTGTAGTATTTGAGACACTGTATACAGGATCATCTAGATCACTGCTTGAAGTAGAGATCTCCAGAACTGTCCGTTGTTACAAACTTGGTCACATAGCCAAGTGGGAAAAAAAGTTAGGACTTTTCTTCCGTTACGTTTATAGATCTGAATTTGGATGTGTTAAGTGTATTAAGGCAATTAAAACGTGAAATGTTTTCACAACTTCTCTTCATGAAACTGGTACATTATTCAGTGAATAAAATAAATATACTGTCTAAAAATTCAGAAAAAAATTTCAGAAAATACTGCAAAAAGTATACACTTCCCCTATTAAGAACTGGTGATTAGGAGACAAAATGCAGAAAGGCTTAATTCTCCTAAACAACAGCTAAAAAGATAAATATGAGAAAAAAAAAATCAACATATATTATACATTATGCAACATTAGATAATGTTATTTTTTTAAAAGTACATAGAAATACAAATGTAGAAACACGGATGAATGAATCGGGTCTTTAATAAGAATATTTTGCAGTTTCTAAAGTTTAATTTGTGCCTCTACTCCACTGTCCACAGAATTGCACTGGTAATAGGAAACTGTCAAGACCAGTTCACTACTATTATCTAAAAAAAAGAAGTCAAAATAATTACTCAGACAAGAACTTTTTCTTGAAAAGAAAAGTCTCTCAGGTAAAGTCAGTCATAGCAGAATTGACACTTAAAAGAGACTGAGTTTATGCATTAATAGCACAAAAGGCAGAGCATGGTAAAGTACATGGTTGACAATAATCACAGCTGTCTGAAGAATAAAGTCAACATAGTTTCAATCTACAATCATGGCTTCCTTTCATGCAGAAGCTTTCATAAGTAGGATACAGGATCAAGCAAGCAGAATGCTCCATTGCTTTGTTACATCTTTTTGCATTATTCTCAATTAGAAAATTACACTGGGAAGATTTAATTCTTCTTGATGTAAGACTACTTTATATCAGTTTTCAAAAAGGAAAAGTTCAATGGAAGCACTTAGACATCCTGCCTTTTTCTTTACTGTTAAGCACACAGCCTACAAGCCAGACTACTGTGGACTAACACAGGAAGGAATACAGTACATACTTACCAACAAAAATTTATTCCACAGATCTAGAAATTTAAACCTTCCTGACAAGACTAAATTCCAATATGCAATTGCCATTTCTAGATCTGCAAGAGACAAAGCAACACATAAATATTACAGCACATTATATGCAATAAAACTCTTATGGTTAAACAATTAATGCTATATCCAGTATATTATGATAATTATGATGACGAACAACATTCTTTTAAAATCTCTACAAAAATTATAAGGAACTGTGTTCTCTCTCTGATCCGAAAGGCAGAAGACAAGCAGTAATGGTATAAATTGCACACTGAACATCACAGTCAAAGACTAGGATATTTTTGTCACCATCCAGCAGTGCTGGATTAAAGCTACTTTCAATTTGCAGAAACAGAACAAAATAATTATCAATAACTCTGTCTACAAATAAATAAATTAAGAAAAGATACATAGACAAACACAGGAAAAATTGATAGAAACACAAACATGTAAGTCTGAAGGTGCCAATTCCTGTTAATTTATCACATTTTAGACACACTTGACTTTAAAGGGAATTTAAGGACAAAATAGGATAAAAAAAGATTCTTCTGGGGCATGATAATTCTACAGCACCGCTTACGGCAATAATTCTCTTCTTCTGGAATCATTCAACAGACAAACACCTACACCCGATACTGAAAATATAAGTCCAGGAAAGCCGTCCTTATTCTGCACCACGACCAGTGATCTGAGAGCAGAGTTCAGCTCACGCATGCCAACAGGAAGATGCAGCACTGCCAGACATTTGAGTGGAAAAGTAGGAGCAGTATTAGATGCAGCATAAGGGTAGAAACGATGTTTTCTTGAAGGCCTGTCTTCATTCTCAGCAACTCGCGATACTTAATGGCTTCTGTGCTTGGTCCCACAGGTAGCAGCACTAAAAGCACATATACTGCTGTGCGACCACAAAATAAAGGATGGCCTTTCTTAAACCACAAAAAGGTGCCAGTTTGTGCTTTCAGTGTAAAGTAAGTATAAACAAAATATGAAACCTGATAGAAAGTATTGTCATAGCAGAGAAGATGGAAGCTTGACCTCCACCTACAAGAAAGGAGCATGGTATCTGAAATTGTACATACCCCATTACAAACCAAAGGGCACATTGTCACCTGACATCAAGTTTCAAGTCTGAAAGAGATGTTCCAGATTTTAACATAGCCTCTTCCCTAGAGTCTCTATCGTAGAGGGCTGGGGCCCAGACAAAGTGCAATAGTTAAGATGTAGAGAAATACAGTATGTCTACACCTAACAACAGAGAGACAGTGCTGTCAGGGTTTGTTCTACTATGATCAAAGTGCTTGTCAGTACAGAACTTGCTTTATGCCTTAATGAGTTTCTTTCAGTCCTTCCCGTTTTTGCTACCATGCTCACTTTCCATAGAAAATAAGTAGAAGATAATAGTTAATAGCGTTTACTTGTTGTTTAGGTATGCAGGTTAATTATTCATATTGTGGAAAACAGTATCTGTTATCCCAAATAAAAAGCAAAAGAAATGGGAAGGGAGAAACTTGAATAATCTTAAGGGTTTCTAAAACTACCCTGTGAAGTGACTGGCTTTGATCTCATTCACTCAGGCTTCTTTATGAAGACTCAACCTTTCCAGGCCAATCTTGCAAATCTATCACGTGACAACTTTAAGCAAAATCCACTTTGAAGAAAAAACACTTTATTAGCAGAAGAATTTTTATATTTCTGATGGAAATATTCCTTGAAAAAAGGAAGACACAGGCAAGGAAACAAAGATGGTTAAAAGTGTCACAAACGAGTTAAAAGGGAAGGAAGAGGCCACACTTCCTTGGTTCATTTGGGTATGTGTCAAATTCAGTGTTATATTAAGGTGAACTCTATTATTGCAAAATTGTATTTAAACAATACATATGAAATACTATCTTAATTAAGTTGATACTTGAGGGATACATTACATGTGTGTGCAAGTCAATTGTCCTGCGCAAAGATACAGGAATTATTTGCTATAATGTACCACTAAAGCACGTCCTAATGAGGATGCTGCTCTAGTGGCTGAAACCAGTCCATGCTGGAGCTACTCTCCTCATTTAGCTCACGAAGGGAAGTCCTGATCTTGGTTAAAATTAGCTCAAGTAACAATAAAATAATAAAAAAAAAAGTAAATCTTCCTCATCCTATTCACTGCAATCACACAAACTCATGAACTAACATGAGATACTTGAACAAAAGGACTAGATGGGACTATCACTTTTGGTAGCAGTGCCAGTCTGTGCAATCTTAAAGTACTTGAGAAAACTAGGCCTTTAGATAAGGTAGATGCTCAGAGGATAGGGCTATACTTTTGTTTTAAGACAATTCCCTACCTAGACTGAAAAACTGAGCACTGGAAGACAGAAAATTTTTCTGCTTTAAAGGGAAGATCTACTTAAACAGAGTTCCAGTTCTACATTAGGATGCCGATAGTAGTATCAAACAAACAGTAATACTGTGAAGTTTATGTATCTGCTACAATTAGTGCAGCACTAAAAGCACTATATATACAAAATATAGGTATATATATAAAAAAACCCCTTATGCCATGGGAGTTCTGCGGCCCCACAGGAAGATGCTTGTGCAAGGCACGGATTTCTTAGGCAGCCTTAGGAATACCTATTTTAACGCTGCATCTATATGAAGGCTTCATTACAACTATAAAAACATGGTGGTTTTGTACCAAAAATTATGCTTCCCACATTATAGACTAATAAGGCAAGTTTTATAAACAGAAAGGAAAAGACAGATGCATGGATCTCTGGAAGCTAACGCCTAAGCAAAGACCAGTTTAGAAGAGACTTCACTGCAAACATCCACTTTCATATCCAAAACATAAAATTGCTTAACAGTTAATGTTTAAAGAACATCATATACTGTACATTATACAACAGTTTGAGGTTTCCCTTCACCTCAAAATATTTTCAGTCTCAATATGTAGCAAGTATTGTATGTCACGCAGCCCCGTCAGTATATTGGCTTTATAGCCCAAAGTTTTTGCACACACTGAAACAAAGCTTCAATATCTAGATATTCAGCTTTGTGGATATCTAGTCTAGTCATAGCTACATACAGCATCTATGAAGCTTTCTGTAGTAAAACTGTAAGACATCTAAAAGTGATACCAATCATGCTGACAAAATTATTAAAACTAAAATTACTGTAAAAATTTTAAAAATATTCACAATATCTAATTTTAAAAGTTCAAGGAGGAAAAGGTTAGTAAAATGTTTTAATTAATTTTAAACTTTTTTTTTGCTAAATAACGTTTAGTATAGTAAACATGCTTTAGTATGTTCTAAAAAGGAGCGCTTTGTACTTTTGAATTAAACAATCAGCTTTTCACATTCAGAAGTAAAGCATTTTGTATGCAGTATGATCTATTTTGAAACATTAAAGCCTCATTCTAAAATTGTTTTTAAAAAACGCTCAGATTCTTCTATCCTGATTGAACAGAAAGCTTGAAGTGATAACAAATTAGCACAATTAATGCAGAAGGAGAAATACATTATCAGTTAGACAACCTGTGTCTACTTTCAAGATTTGAGCAAATGTTTATCTTGTTAACAACAGCAACAAAAAAAAAAAAAAAAAAAAAAAATCATTCTTAGACTATTGCATGAATAAAAAAAAAGTCAAATTAAGTTTCTCATCCATTTGCTATGATTTTGGACAAGGGCAATGAAGTCATTATACAGAAGTAATCAAGGAAGTAAGAACACAGAAAGATAAATCAACAGACAGCAAGGAATAGGCTGGAGAGTAGGATTTATGAGGAACATGAAATGAAGTTAATTTAGACCTGCTGTGCCAAAACAACACTCAGACTGCAGCACTCATCATCCTCTGCCAAAGAGAGCTTTCCAGCTCTCAGACTGCCCTACCAACAGAACTGCTCACGCAGTCATGTCTGAAGCTGTCAGAATATTAAAACTAATTCACCTGAATTACTGATAGAACTTAATGACATTTGAAAACGTTCAAGTTATTTATAAGAATATTTTAATATTAGCCACTGTTGTCCTCATAACCCCTACTTAGCATATTAACTACGTTCTGTACATTATGATGTTAGAGGCTATCATGTTTTAGAGCTTCTTAACAAATAATTTATTTTAATTTCATCTTTTGAGATTAACCTATTATCCCAATATTGCCTTTTTCTTCCTTTATTGATGTTTAATCTTCTTATCAATATCGTAAAGCTTTGCTACTTCATATGTCACCTCTATGAGAGACTTTGGCCAGTTTGTTTTAAGTGTCAGTGCTCACCGATGTGTTTTACTCAAAGAGTACTCTCAAACTACATGGGCAGCATTTTTATTTTTTTCAAAATTACAGGATGCGTCAGCCTTACCCAGTCCATCTACAGACAGAAACCAACAAATTAGTAAAGAATGTAACAAAGCTTGTAGGAGGAAAAAGTTCCTTTTATTAGACCAGTTAATAAGGATGAAAAAAAGAAAAAAAAAAAAAGCTTTGGAAATGAAATTGTCAGAGTCAAGAGCCCTCTTTGTTTGAGGCTTTCTCTCCCCAGTGCTTTAACCAAAACTTACCCTATAGCTTTGAAAACAGAAGAGTAGTCAACAAACTCTCCAGTTCCTCACACTGCATAAAAAAAAATTAATTTGGACTGGTGCAAGACACATCTATCATTCAATCACCTTGTAAAAATATATGTAGCCTCTGTAAGAGACTGAACTTCAGATGGTTCCTCTATAGTCATATAATTTGCCCTAAAGTACCATTTGATCAATAGTCTTTGATCTCTTCCCTCTTGTTTTCTCCCTGTGATCACAGGCAAGTATACCATTGTAAAGCTAAAACAAAAGCTACATTGCACAGAAATATTTTGTTTCAGTAAAATTCCTGGACACCATGATGAAACTGGTGCAGATGTAGGAACAGTGGAAACTGCTGTCAATCTGTCTCAACAATTGGACTATCACACTACCTGACCAACAAACACCAAATGAATACTTGCAAGATTCAGTGAGTTACTTGATTCCTTGTTTCCTCATCTCTGAATGATTTTAAGAGTCTTCTTTGGCCTCCAAATTACTAA